TACTCACACAACTTTCTAACTTCGTTTATGTAATTCCATTATTTTTCATCGCTTGACTTGATTGGTAGTAGTATTTTCCATATTCCCTGTAAGAGTGATGAGTCATTCTTATTGTAAAGTATTGGTTTTGTAGGGCTTTTGTTTGATTGCATGGGGGATTTCACCATGAGCTAACATTGGTTAGAGAATCACTGGAAAACCTGGGAGTACTGGAGGGCTATTTCGTCCTAGTTTGGGACTCTTTAGCAGTACGCACCCACCGGGGTTCGAACTTAGGACCTTCTGGTTACAAGGCGAGCTCGTAGACCACTGAGCCACTGGGACCCGATCCAATAGACTTTGACTCCTAACTTCTGCACGTATTGGGTGTAGATTCGATGAACAAGAATTCAATAATCAATCTCTGTCTCTCCACTTACCTATATTGCTTCATGGAATTTAAACTCACTCTCATCCTATTGTGTGGTTGTGTGTTAATGCCTGCAGTACAATATCTGAGCTTTTTTCTAAATTACTTATCTTCTCGGGATCAATCATTCTTACATTAGCTAAATTCTTATGTTCCTGCAGTCTGACTACCCCTTATCTACTAGTTTGACCTATATAGCTGACCTCACAGTTTTTGTTCAATATGAATACGATAGTACATTTCTGGAAGATGATTCGTCGAAGATGGAAATTTCTTCAGTTTTGGATCTTCATTTTATTTATGTATCTGAGATATCCTTGAATAAGCAGCCTACTGCTATTGTAATTATTAATGACTAAATGTATTCTAAAAGTCATAGTTCCGATCCACAGCCTCCTGACTACTGACTAGCCTGACACTTTCCCAGCTGACCTACAAGACCCAACCAGGCATCCCTGTAAAAGCTGAAACGTCTTTTTTTGTGGTGATTTTTGACTACTTTACACTTTCGGCTTTATTGAACAAACAAAGTGAGCGACTCATGGAGAATTCGTATTAGGACATATAGAAAATCAAAGCAAGTGATTCAGAGAAGAAACTCTTTTTCAACGAATTTATTATCAAGTTTTACAGTCATATAAATTTAGGATTTAAAAAAAATTATTATGTGAATTGTGACGAAAAATACTGGTTATGTACTTTATGAAATATTTCACGAAATGTATAAAACTCAAGGTAGTTTGTAAAACTTAATTAGTAGGTTATTTATTACCGAGCTGTACAATCATATATTTATGTGGTTGTATAGCTTGGTAATAAATTCTTTGCAGATAGTGTCTTTACTGAGTGACCTGCATTGATTTTCCAAGAGACTGAGTTGACAAGGCTGACATGCTAATTGTTTAGCTGACTAAGTGGTACCCAGTGATAGGAAGAGATTGACTTTTTCAGTTCCCAATACTGTCCTACTTCCATCAAACCAATAATATTCATGATTGTCTGTCTTTATATCCGGCTTCGTAAACCCATAGTGTTCACGATTCCTCGTTAAAAACCGAATACGTTCATCTCGTAGTTAGTTAGCCAACAATAAACAGTAGAAAATAACTTTTAAACACTGAGTTTCTATAGGTGTGATTTCAAAAATTATACCGTCACAATTCAACAGAATCCAAGGTGCCATTTAAGACCAAGAGGCGTAGCGCGGAAGATTCTCAAAGTAGGACGAAATACCTCCTCACTTACCGTGTGCTTTCGGTGATCCTCTAACTGGCGCCAGTCATTGATATAATCACTCTTGAAATTAGGCATGTGTCACAATTTCCTATTGTTATTATTATCATCATTACTTTCTTTGGTAGTGAGAGGAATATAGGGTCTCGGCAGTACATCTCCATTTCACGCTGTTTCCTTCAGTATTCGTTGGCTGGACACAAACTGCCTACAAGCTTTCATTCCCTCCTCATACGATATCCTTCACGTCACTCTCGAACCAGTGATGAACTCGTCGTATCCCATCCGCGTTCTACTCGAGGACCTGGCACATGATTTCATCCAACAGTCACCTCAGTATATGTCGAATCCATCTGTGTCTCTTTCTCCATATTAGTTAGGCAGAGCATAGTTGCTTGGTTGATTCGTCGCCAGAGCTCTTTATCGATAATCTCTTCTGGTCACTTTCATCTTCAGTGTTGAGCCAACGAAGGTAGCTATTTGTAAATGATTTTCATGACGCGCCAATTCTCTAAACTGTGTGTACAAACACTCACTGGTTATACACTAGTGTTGAAAATCAGGATCTTGTTTCTTATGCTGATTTCGGTAGGTTTCCACATTGTCTTTCCTATCCTTCTGGCCTTGACATACTGATCCGTGTCGCCACTGAATCAGGCCCCAGTGGCTTTATGGTCCACGAGCTCGTCATATCACCAGAAGGCATTGGGTTCGAACTCCGTGGGTGCGTACTGATGAAGATTCCTAAACCAGGGCGAAACAACTGTCCAGTACTCCAATTCGGTTTTCTAATGGTTCTCTAACTTATGTCATGTGATAGTAAAATCCTCCAACCAGTCAAAATAATTCCCTACAAAATACCAATACGTGATAATATCTATTTATTCATTATATGATGGAGAAAGTCAACGCCATTTTTTAACAAAAGTACGTGTTTTGAGGATGAGTGTAATTAGTGGTCTGTTGGACATTGTAAACAATGTAGAAAAATTAACCAAGAAATGGGGTAGACTAGAAGTGAGTTCAAGAGTGACAAATAAGAGTTAGAATGATGTTGAAATATAATTTGCAGAATACCTCGCGGTGTCTGTGAGGCGAAATGAGTAGGAAGTGATCAAATAATCAGAGCATATGAATTTAGCTAAGCATAGAATGGTAATTGGTGGATGCTGACTAGCAGTGGAATCCAGAATGCGCATTTCGTCCTATTTGGGACTCGTCATCTGGATGTGGATCTCGTGGCTTAAGTGGTCTAGTAGATAACTCCCTGGCGTTTGAAACTATGGACACTGGGTTCGAGACTCGGTGGGAACATTATCACTCACTGAAGAATGCACCTGCATCCAGATGACGAGTCCCGAATAGCACGAAATGGTTATCCTGAATTCCACTGTCAGTCACCATCGACCAATTAACTTCTAACTACATGCCCAGACATTGTTGATTTATCTGCACAGGAAGCCGGGACCTGAGACCGAGCACTTCGGTCCAATCAATCGACGGGAAAATCCAAAAATGAATTAAATACGTTTAGAATAACTGGCTCCACAAAGATGAATTATTTGGAAAAGAACCAAGCAGTCAGAATCCAATCACTGTCACGCAGACACACATTCGAGTGGAATATAGCTGCAGTTCTGGAAAGTGATACAGATGGGTTATTGTATGGGTTGACTAGTGAATCTGGGTTTATTGAATTTGCACTCATTACCTACAACATAAATGACTCAGCATCAATACCAAATGTATGGAAGAAGTTACTACGAATCACACCAAAAAAAAGAAATATTGTTGAGTTTTGTTTTTATTCCAGTTTACCTTGTCACATTCTACCATTTCATTTATTTTACTGACAAAGCACCTAATTTCCCATCTTATTTCATTTTATTAACAACACTCGTCTTATTTCCCATCATAACGCTACTGTTATTTCCGAATTTACTTTATCTTCCTATAATCTGTTTCACAGATGTCTGTTCAACGTTGTACTGACTTTCATTTATTCACACATATGTCCATTCAGTTTGTTACGCATGTATATCAACGAAGTAGGAAAGTTATCTGAGTGCCTTGATACGATTACGAGCAATAAACTGTGGTCGAAGCATCGACAGTAGATAATACTGCCTATATAACACTGAGACTTTATCAGATAAATTTATTATATGATGGAATTATTAGTCTTCCACAGTGCCCAGGTTCTATTCTTATAGTTCATAATACTAATGAATGCATAAGAGAGTCATAGTTACGTAATTAGATAAATGATATAATAGGTGAGTTGCTGTCAGAATGGACATAGGAACAATGGAAGTGTTATGTTGAATGAATACTTAAAAGGATACAGGAGACCGCAACATGGTCGTTGAAGAATTCTGTTTTGTATACAGACCTTCGGTTCCTCTCTCTAGATAGCAAAACAGAAGAAAGCTATCGAAAACAGACTCTTCACTCCACCAACTGGCTTTATTTTGATTGTTGTTTAGATGGAAGTTATTCACGAATTGAAAAGCACCAATGTCATGAACCCCTATTTATATGACAGCTGGGTAGGACCTAAGTGAATTCTATTAAAATAACGATCTGTTTAAGCAGATGGGTCTCGAAGTTAATCGTGTGACTACCGGTTTGATGCAACGTGACTACAACTGAGGTTTTTATTTCACCTTTGATAGTTGCTTATTGCTTCAGTTCACTATCGACCAATATAATGTTGATAAAATAGATTTATTCTAGAATGAAGAAAATAATTACTGGAACTCCGACTCAGTTGTTTACTAAAAAATCCAACTGTTTTTTATAGTTCATTTCTGTGTGTTGTTGTGGTTTCACACAACAGTGAATAAATGCAAATTACATCCAAAATATTTTATGTCTATCCAAATGATGTCTATATTTATGATAGCAAAAACTTGTTCTCACAGTCAGGTTGCTTTCTGTATTATACCATCGACGCTCCTAAACTTCAAGGTTAGTTACCACCTGAAACAACTAAATGCTTGCATATTTGGCGAAGTCACTATACACAGTTATACAATATATATATCAGTTGAAATGATATCAGATTAAAACGAGAGAAAAAAATTGTTTGAATTCACTATAGGCTCTGTTTATTGGTCTAATTTAAAATCGATTAATTAAGGCATTGAACTGTTCATACTTCAACCATTAATACAATTAAAACACGTATACGTACGCATGCATGCATGCATACACCTACTCACGCCAAAATGCATACACTAAACAAAATACAATAAACATTACATAGATTAATACTACTATTCACGAAAGAAGTATAAAATAAAATGAACAGAAACGTTAAGTAAATTGTTTAAAATAATAATAATAATTCATTTCGTCAGTTTTTTAATAATCGTATTCGTGCTGCATCATATTGATCAGTATATTTCATGGGTAAATGAGATTCAATGTCCAATAAACTGTCTAGCAATGTTTGTATCCAGGCTGGTGAAAACTGTAGAGACGGTGATAATGATGATGATGATGATGATGATGGAGTTTGAGACGCGGAAGGAAGTGCTAATGATAAAATTGTGTCTGAAGATTTGAATTGTAGTTGTTTTTGTAAATTTAATAAAAAATAACACAAACACTCTAATAAACAATCCATTAAAACATGCAATTCCGAAATGAACACCTCCATGTTAGTATTGACGGTGAGACTACTTTGACCTTGTCCACTAACCATTTGAGTTCTGTTCACTTGATTTATTTTTTCGTAAACCAAGTTGGATATCTGCATAAACAGAAATAAAGTGAAAGCAATGCCAGTTACTATATGAAGGTGTACCTAGAGGTGAGTTTCTTCATAATAATGCCTACAGTCATACACTAGCCACCAGTTACTTTACATCTTCTGACTGATAGCAGACTAAAAGAAGAGAAAGAAATCTTTCATAGCTGTTGTCAAAATGAGTCCAATATTCCGACTTTTCACTAGCAGCGATTCGATTACTTTCAAAAAGGGATATTCAACAACGGCACTAATGAGCAGTGGTGCTGCTCACTTGTCAACAGCTTGTAACCTGAAGGTCCAGAGTGCTGGACATGGTCTAGTAGTAAGTGAAAACTACTGATTCAGCCCTATACGAGGACAAAATCGATACACAGTGCTTCTTAGTTTCAATGATTCTCTGACAAAATCTTCACTAAAAAGCAGATCAAACTGTAAATTACACACAAGAAGATTGTGAAATATGAAAATAGGCATGCAGAATATAATGATGATAATGAACAACAATCAATCTACGTCTGTTGAATTAAGCCATAATGAAGAAAGTCAGTCATAACCATTGTGAAACAAATCAATAAATTTCAAAACGTGAATTTCTAACAATATCAAAATATAATTCCACTGGGATCAACAAAATAACCTAAAAGAAGGGGTGATTTGGCGACCGACCAACTTCAAACTTGTTACAACAGTGATTTTGTTGTAAATTCCTATGAAAAGTTAGACGTGTTCACTTTCTTTGAGGTTGTACTAAACATGAATGGTATTGTTTTATTGGAAGCTCAACGTAAGACAAACGTTTCTTTGACCTATATCTTGCGCCAGTTGGCACCAGTTTCACACCCACCGCCCCGCTTGAAATTGCTTATATATATATATATATATATACTCCATTTTACCAACCTGACCGACTAAGTAATAATATGTCATATTCACATAAGTCAGTCAGCATTATACGGTATTTTGCACATTTAAGGTTAACTATATGGCGTGTATTCAGCTTCAAGTAGTGCAAATTTAAATTCCTGTGCATTATTGTTCAACCTTTTTATTTAGTTGTTATAATCAGGTGTTGGTTTGTAGGGATTTGATTGGCTACAGGATTTCATCATGAGCTGACATTGGTTAGAGAACAATTGGAAAACCAATAGGGAGTACTGGACAGCTGTTTCGTCCTAGTTTGGGGCTCTTCACAATACGCACCCACCTGGGTTCGAACCTGGGACCTTCTGGTTACAAGGCGGGCTCGTAGACCATTAAGCCACTGGGACCCGATCCAATGGCCAGCCCATGAACTCTAACTTCTGCAGATTCACGACATAGCCCGACTCCTAGCCAATGCCTTCGGCGAGTATTTGTCCTCACAGTCGACCTGATGCACCCTACCGTTTTGTTCTGCTCCATACACTTTTACGTCCCAATTTAAGTTCACTAAAGAGAAACTTGTGCATCAAACATTATGAGCGATAACAACTATTAAAGAAAATTACAGGTTTGACCACAGGATGACATTAGCTGGAGAACCATTGGAAAACCAGGCTGTAGTGGAAGATTGTTTTGTCTTAGTTTAGGATGGATGGTTGTGTTGTCATAAGTTGCACTTAGTCAACCAAGGATGTTAGTTGGAGGGCGGAATACCTACTTATTCAGTGATATCTCCCAAACTGATACCGGTTTGGCGCTAGAATCTTCCTTTAAATCAATCAAATCTCCTAAGACTAAGCTGAGATATAGGTTTAGTATGCAGTCAGGATGCTTTCACTCTAGCCAATAGTCAGTAATTCCTACAGTTTTACGTATTCGGAGGTGGATGGATATTTTAAGAACATAGCATTTTATCGACTGCTTTAGGCAATATTACCAAAATGAGCAGAGTGATAACAGCACCTAGAGTGGTTGCCGACGGCGAGTTTATTTACACTTTGACAATAGACATATAGGGAAAATATATTTTTGATTGCATACTAGTCAGTAACTAGTGTAATGTATCTAGTCCTATCTTCGTTGCACACTGAATTCTATCGGTCATGCTTGCAATGTGGCCACCATGCTAGGTGGGTTGCCATTACGGTGCACTGCGAATTGTTGGTATTAGATGGTTGGAGGCAATCGGCAGGAAGCTTTGGACCTAGGTTTCGTTCTAGTTGGCACTCATTAGCATCATCATATGGGGAAAATATGCACACCATATATTAAAATTTTCATTTGCACATATCTTCCGTTTTGTGCGACTTCTAAACTTGAGTTTAGATATGATAGAGAAGATTTGTAGCTCAGGTGGATGATTTTGATGTGGTTAGGGTTCTCTGAGCTGGATGGTTAATTTGCGAAGCTTTCATCATCCTACTGGGTGACATCTTCAGCACATACTTCAATTTGAAGTGAGCTTTTAGGTCTCTCCACGAGTTTATTAATCATCTCTCCTGGTGACCTTGGACATGATTGGTTGTTTATGTGTGTTTTTACATCTTCTAGGTTACTTGTATTGGAACTGACTGTTTCTTTGACTTGAACTTTGGCTCTTTTGTGTGTGAAGTTTCTTTCTTATTGGTTGATAAATTTTGTCTATCTCGATGTGTCTATTGATTGATGATTCACTGGAATGCCAAGCTTCTAAAAATTCTCTAGCATTCTTGTTGTTTCCTCTGTCTAATATTTGAACGTTGTCCCAGTCGTATCCACGATCATAAGTTAGCCGTCAAAAGACATGATATCCACTCCCTCATATCACTACACACAGACAACCACGGACATCAATTCGACTGGGACAACGTTTAAATATTAGACAGAGGAAACAACAAGAATGCTAGAGAATTTTTAGAAGCTTGGCATTCCAGTGAATCATCAATCAATAGACACATCGAGATAGACAAAATTTATCAACCAATAAGAAAGAAACTTCACACACAAAAGAGCCAAAGTTCAAGTCTAAGAAACAGTCAGTTCCAATACAAGTAACCTAGAAGATTTTGATAGCGTTATTAGAAGACGGAGACTGTCTGAAAAATGTGATGTATTAGCGCTATACATTTCGAACAATCTGATCACACATTTACTTGTCAAGTCAATATATATAGAAAGGTTAAATTAAACCAAGTGAGAGAAAACGGAATTAAGAATAATTAACACAAACGTTTGGTAATCCAATCAAATAAGGATTACCAAGGTAGGTTAAGAGTAATGACAAACTGTTTTTGGTAATCCTTATTTGATTGGATTACCAAACGTTTGTGTTAATTATTCTTAATTCCGTTTTCTCTCACTTGGTTTAATTTAACCTTTCTATATATATTGACTTGACAAGTAAATGTGTGATCAGATTGTTCGAAATGTATAGCGCTAATACATCACATTTTTCAGACAGTCTCCGTCTTCTAATAACGCTATCAAAATTTATAAAAGGGACTAATTGTTTTAAACCTAGAAGATGTAAAAACACACATAAACGACCAATCATGTCCAAGGTCACCAGGAGAGATGATTAATAAACTCGTGGAGAAACCTAAAAGCTCACTTCAAATTGAAGTGTGCTGAAGATGTCACCCGGTAGGATGATGAAAGCTTCGCAAATTAACCATCCAGCTCAGAGAAACCTAACCACATCAAAAACTTGAGTTTCTTTGTCTTCTTTCCGTGTCTGTCATGTTTTGCCGCAAAACTAGTTCATTTCCTCTATTTGATGTCAAATCTGTCTCTCTGCTATTTGATAATTTTGTGCCGATGAACGTCTCCTTACATACTACTGATAAATCTTGCCTGCGTTCTATTTCCCGTGTAAAGTGGCATAATAAGGTGAGCAACATGGAGGTTAGGCGTAGAGTTCTAGGTAAACAGGGGAAATAAATCGACGAAGTCGTGAAGCTACAAAGACTGAGATGGTTAGGACATGTGTTACGTATGCCAAGCCATCGCCTCCCTCGACGAGCTATGTTAGCGGATATAGGGTCAGGCTGGAAAAAAGCTAGCGGGGGTCAAACAAAAACTTGGCATCAGTCAATGAAATCCACAACAGTTGGTCTAAGCCACGTAGAAAGGTGTAGACTTCCAGGCTGGGGTCCTCGGGACGGTAAAAATCTATGGTTGGAAACAATTGGTGACATGGCTCAAAACCGTTCTCAGTGGCGCAGATGCATCCACTCCTTGTGACTTATGATCTTCAATGAAACTGTTTTGTATTTCTTTATTACTCCTTTGTCTCACACTTCTGCTCACTGTTTCTATTATGCTTTTCTTGTACTTTCTTCTCTTGCTTCGCGTGCTACACGGAATGTGGCGACTTGAACTGGCGCACATTTGTGCAAAGTTCTATGTCGAAAACAGACAGACAGACAGTCAATAGGATACGTCACACTAGAGAAGCATGAAAAGAAGGAGGCCAGTCCACTATACTTCGTCGCTCATCAACAACTTACCACTTGGAGTTATTACAGTTATATGTTTATTTCATTGTAGAGAAACAGAATATCTACCAGTGATTAAGATTAATGATGTTAAAAATATGTAGACTGATAGGAATGTTAAGTTAGTCAACTTTAACGGGTTGTTTATAATTATTTATTGTTGTTCCCTTGGATTTCGAGTGGAACAAAGGACTCTAGTGGCACGACTCCACTGCATCCTATTCTCCACGGTTCCTTTTAGTTGGTTACATGATTGCTCACAAGCTTTCATCTCCGCTTCATACGATCTGCATGTCACCCTCGAAATCTTACCCAACTTATCATTTTTATTCTGAACCTGTAGTGCAATGCCACCCAGTGATCTCCTAAACGTGTGTCTTATCCGTCCATAGTTCTTTGTTGCCAATCCTTTGTGGCCGTCTGATCTCCACTGTCAATCCTGTGAACACAGGTGTTGATGAAAGTCCTCAGTCTGTTGGAACTGATTTTCGTCACCCTTTAAATCTCTGAATCATATAGTAGCACTCACTGACTTGACATCGGTGTTGAATATCCTAGTACACCAAGTTTCCATACTGATTTCAGAGGAATAAATGTTTGTTTTTCCTTTCCGATACTGCCTTTGACATTCTCATCCGCGGTTGTAGCAATATTCCTCAATTAGTGGAAGTAATAACATCCTCCAAACTTCTTCCAGTGATAGTGATTGGTGCTTATTGTTGATGGTTAGGTATTATATGACCTCTATCTTTTACATGTTCAGTTGAAGTCCTGTCTTCGCTTCTAGGCTCTTCTGCTGACTTGTTGGTTTTCGATTGTCGATCTCCGAGTCTGTGTGACATTGGTCGGATTGTTTTCTGCAGCCACATATGTATGGTACTCCAGGTTTCTAGAAGTCAGGCAAGGATAATAACAATATGTTGATGGGCGTAAATTTTAAGACCAGCTGAATCATTTGAATAGTCTTATTGAACAAAATAAAATGTGTAAAAAAATACAGTAAGTTAAACACATTAAGTTAGATATTCATTATGCGAAACATAAGGTGATGTAACTAAGTAAAAGTGAAAGGAGATCAACACTTCCGTTCGCTAAAAGATGATGTGATCACTTGAAGGTCGGAAAAAGTTGTCAGTGTAGAGAAAGACTTACTACAACTTCCTTTTGAAAACATAATTCAGGTCTTAGACTTTTCTCATAGAAATGGCCTCCGCGAACATCAAAGTGTTTCAGTTTGCTTGTATGTTTATTATCTTAGACAAAAGTGTGTTAAGATTGCAGTCAAACTGTTTATGTAGTAGGATATAGTTGAAGGGGAGGTAGATGTCTGCGAAGCGAGACGATTGTGTTTTTCCGCCTAAGATACAAGATTCGACTACTAAGCTGGTGATTATTTCACATAACATCTGAGTGTGATTCATTTTCATGACTTTGTTTGTAGGGATTTGATCACGGACCGATCTGAGTTGCAGAACCATTGGAAATTCTGATAGTGCTGGACAACTATTTCGCCCTAGTCTAGGACTTACTGGTAGTGGTCACCCACGGGCTTTCGAACCCAGAACCTTCCGGTTGTAAGGTAAGTCGACCATTCGGCCACTTAGATCAGACTCAGTGACTCATGAATTCTAACTTCTACGATTTCGTGATTTTAGCGTGACCACCAGCCAATGTCATCGGTGAGCACTTGTCCTCACTCTCGACTCGATCGACCCCAACAGCCACGAATGCTTACTAGAGCTCTAGGCATCTCTTTCTTGTAGCTAGTCACTTGTATGCACGCGGTTAATTTTCATGAATTTGTTTGTAGAGACGTGATTTGTTCGAAACCCAGAAGGTATGCACTGACGATGAGTCCCAAACTGGGACGAAGCGGATGTTCAGTACTCCTTGGATATTAGCTATTCTCTGACTGATATCAGTCCGTGATCAAACTTAAAACAATCCGTTTTTCTTTGTGTGAAATGACGACGTAATCAACACACGTGTCTTATGGTTCAGCTCATAGAGCAGTGTATTAGTAGTTAAGATGTCACTGTTTTGAATACGATTGCGATCTAGGTTATCATTTCACCTTCAGGCAGTCCACAAATCCTAAACTATCTCAGACTGTCCCACTATCAGGTGAAACTATTTACTTTTATTACTCAGGATTTAAGTGGCTGATAGATCACCGTCGAAATTAAATGGATAAGTTTTGTCCTTCTCCATACACTTTTACGTCCCAATTTAAGTTCACTAAAGAGAAACTTGTGCATCAAACATTATGAGCGATAACAACTATTAAAGAAAATTACAGGTTTGACCACAGGATGACATTAGTTAGAGAACCATTGGAAAACCAGGCTGTAGTGGAAGATTATTTTGTCTTAGTTTAGGATGGGTTGTTGTGTACTGATGAACAGTCCCAAATTAGGTTAAAACAGATGTCCAGCACTACGTAGTTTTCCAATGGTTTTCGTGGTCAAACCTGTAGCCAATCAAATCCCTGCAAACCAATACTTGAATGTGAGAAAACGTTTTATTGATTACTTGTGGTGTTCAGTGATATGATTGGTTGTTTTCTGCTAAGTATGTTATTATTATGGGTAGAGATATTCTAAATTCTTTATAGACATGAACTTTGACCTCTTATCGATTCGTTACCGTTTTGTTACTTCTCAATAGTATAGTTTAATATTAACAGATAGCTTTTTTTCTAAAATACTTGGTTCGCGTAGACTTTGATTCATTTTCAAGGTGGATTTCACTGCGGACCGAAGCATAAAGGGTGAATGAATCTGAATCCTTAGTAAACAGTTTCGAGCAGCGATTGACTTCTATCGCCTCTGGGACTCCAGCTAGGTAGCCTGCATCCCCTACATGACTCAAACCAACAGTGAGTGACTTCATGGTTTGCTGATAATTTTAGATTTGACCACTTCCAACTCTCTTCTAACTAAACCCTGTGTCAGTTACCAATAGTGAACGAGGAAGGTCATGGCTTGGCATAGATAGCGTGCATTTGAGACGACACGATCAATGCACCATTACAATCTCATCGACTAACCTTCTATCTTGATCTGAAACTCCGCGTTTAACTGCAATATTACCGACAATATTTAACCACATAAGAAGAGAATCAGGATGCAGATAGTTATGGTCCAATGCCAAAGACCATGTTTCAGAGCTGTAAAGATTGACGTCTTCTCATCTGTAGCTGGATATCAAGTCTAGATCACAGATAAGTAGGGAAATGCCGGGCGAGTCTTTTTTATAGGTACTGAGATTTCGTCAGCAATCAGTCCACTGAAGCTGATACAGCTTCTCAAAAAAGTGAAGTGGTAAACACATTCAGTTACTTCACTGCCTATCTTTAGACTAGCAATAGATTTGGTCCAGTCCCAAAGCATCATCTGGTGTTTCACATTACACGAAGTAACATTTTCTGAATGAACAACATCAGGTGGATATCAGGTATAACGAAATGTTCCCTTCAAAACCAGTACATTTGAATGATTGATAGATTCAACAGCATAGGTCACCTTATCAAAGAATTAACCACTTCTGTACATCCGCATAAAGATAATGAAAAAACCTATTAGGACTAACAGATTACACGTGAAGAGACAATGGATCTTAAAAAGAAAGGCTTAAATCCATTGCTGCATACTGATGATGAACTCACTTCACATAAATTCAAAATGTTTGTCCTATGATTTGTCTCAGCAGGTACCTCAGTTAAACACCAACTTCAAGATGCTGTCCCTCCTCCGATTCTTTTTTCTTTCTATATTGCATGTCTTAAGCTATTATTGCAAAGTTTAATTCCATGAAATATGCTGATGATCTGATAATTTTTATCCCGGTTGTTTCTGCATCACAGAATGTTCTGACACAAATAGTTTCCTATCTGAGGCTAATTAATGGTCCTAAACTGAATCGCTCTAAATGTCATACTGTTAATTTTAGTTTCAGTTGTGAACACTGTGGTAGGAAATAAATCAAATATTACTACTATCGGTGTGAGTTTTCCTTCCATTCTTTGTTTTTTAAGTCATGTCTTGTTGACTTCTGAAAAACATCTTTCGTTCAACTTACTACATAAGGAAGTCATGACTTCCGGAGGTAACTCTTCTCTGGTACTTTATTAATTCATCTTTTTCACCTGTCCTTTTTTACTCTTTCCCTTTAGCCTCTCCCCTGGGAATTTCAAAAAAGACTGTTATATTATTTAGCACTATAAGTAGGGTAAGTAGTGCGCGCCCTTGATTCAGTTAAATGATATTGCTGTTGAAAAGAATTTTAATTCTTACAAGCAGTTGGCTGAAAAATTCTCATAAGTCGCAACCTTCTCCTTTTTTCTTTTCAGGTTGAACCACAAGAAATTCGCATAACAATTTATTCTCGTAAGACAAAATATAAAGATTCACCTTTACCATATTTAGCATAGGTGTTGTATAAAGAGAAAACTATCAGAAAAGAACTAGTAAATCTACTTCATAATCTGTCATTTATACATGCTTGAAATGGATGTCATTAATACTCAGTAAAGCAGAAACTCTCCAATTATATTTTGTGCAGCCACTACTATACTCAAAACGGAGAAGAGAAAAAAAGGAGAATTGTATTGATTACCTGCGAAATTTTGTGCACAAGTGGCACTCCATTTCTGTTGTTTGCACAATCCAAAATACTTTCGTTGATCATTGCCAATTTATTGTTTTCACTGTCAGTTTGTAGAAGTAGTGAAGTCAATTGACCAACTAGACGGTTACATAATTGACCAATTTCATAAATCACCTGAACTAAACGGCTAAGACGATGGTAGTGTGTACGCTCTACAAGTGTTGGAGATCTCAAGGTCAATTCTATCTGAAATTAAACCAACATTTAATTTGTTGTTGTTTTTTCAGACTAATGTGTTAATTTCTTTTACCTCTCATCTCTTGGATATCTGATGACACTTACAAGATTCTAAGCACTTGTTTTCAGGACAATCATAAAATCATTCTTTGTTTTTTTTTTGGCGTTAATTTAATAAACAAATGTTTAGTTGGTGGTGAACTTATCTGAATTCGCAGACTGTTTTTTTTATTTCACATATAATAATGAAAGGTCACAAACAAACTAGAACCAATGATCTCTGAATCACAACCGACTAGCTGTCCTCACCGTCTTTTGAGGTTGGCTTAAAAAGCTTGTCAGATTGCAGAAGAAAAGAGATATTGTATAAGATATTAGGGATCTGTAGGAGCTGATGAAATAAATATGAACTCTCTAGATTAATAACAAGAGATTTTATCAGGCTTAACTTTAATATACATAAGTTTACGAATAAAAATTCAAATATAAACCAATCATGGTGTTTTCTCTATAGGATAATACGATGGTGAATACAAATTGTGCAATTAGTCATAATAATTAGTAATGATAATAATAATAATGGTCTTATCAATAATAAGGATGAAAAAGTGAGGCAATCTGTGATAACACGAATATTGAAAAACAGCATGACTAAACAAACAAATAAATGTTCAGGTGGAAGTAGTCGATAAAGTCTTGTAAAAACAAATGAACCGATTACGTAATGTTAGATTGATTGTAAGGGAAGGAAATGAGACAAGTTTATAATCAAGATGTGATAAGATTAAGGGATGACCAGAAAGGGGTTGAAAATATAAACAAGGGTTGGTGTAGAAGTCTTTAGTTGGTTATGTCTTATCAGGCCAAGGGAGGTATAATGGCTGTACGAACTTCTTTTGAATGCATGGTTTAGGTTTAATAGTTCGAATGCCTATCGCCTCAGCTGTGTGCAGTAGACGAATACGAAGTCTATTAGAAAGATTCGGTGGGATACGATGAATTACTTTGAAGGCTTTCGTTTTCTCAATTACATGACCACTATCAATTAAATGTGACAGAATTGAGCAACGGATTGTTTTTGTCTGTCCTTTGCCAAACCACGATGGGAGATGTTCACTAACACGTTGGCTAAGCTGTCTAGTAGCACGCCCTACATAACTGTCACCGCAGGTGTAGTTGAACTGATAAATACACATAGATGTGGCAAATCTATCAAGCTTATCCTTCGTTTGCGTCCCAATCATTCGTCGGCTAGAGAATGACAAACATAGGTGTGCTGCGTAAAACGTTCTTCGTATACTCCTGGAAAGTCTCTGGAGTAAAATCTCACATGATAAGTCGCCATTAAATTTTAACTTAATAAACAGAGGTTTCTTACGTACAGTCAGTCTCAGGTTTTTCCTCTGATGTTTTCATATGTTTCTTTATGTAACTACTCGGATAGCCCATCTCCGTCAAGGAATCGTGAATATGCTCAAATTCCTTTTGTAAGAGGTTATTCGTACATATCTTTCTTGCTCTGCTCGCAAGACATTTACCAATATTCCTTCTAAGAAGACAACTGCAGCGAAGAAAATTTTCTTTTTTGACCCAATGTGAATATTCCTTTTATATTTCATGGGCATATAACTAAGGAAGCGTGTGTATCGTCCTGTGAATGTGCTTTTTCTGTACATGCTTCTCCCAAGTGACCCATCTTCTCTCCTACTTAGCAAGACATCCAGAAAATGTAGTTTATTCTCCTGCTCCTCTTTAAAAGTAAAGGTAAGCAAAGGGTGGATGTTGTTGAATTTCAGCATCGGTGGCACAGTGGTTAGGACTCTCGCCGACCATGCACATGGTCCGGGGTTCGAGCCCTCGCCGACGCACACCTGATATCTATGGTTGGCCTGCGAATTTTGGGCTACCGATATCCACGCTGAAAATTCCACACTTGTACCAAAAAATACGGTGTGGAATCAAGCTGTAACCATAAAATAAAATAAAAAAAATAAAAAAAAATAAAAAATTCGTCTATGTTAACATTCCCATCACCTAAGAAAAATATATCATCGATATATCGGTAATATATATCAAACTCCTTGATGATGTCTTTCAATTTCCCGTTTTCAAGTTTTGCAAGAAAGAAGTCAGCTTATATTGTGCTTAATGGTGAACCCATAGCTATTCCATCTACTTGTCGATAGTATGAATTATTGAAGACAAAGTGAACTTTCAAACAAAGAGAGTCAGTAGTCTACTACAGACATTCAAATGACAATAATGAGCACACTGTAGGTCGCATACATCGGAAAGCAATTGATTCCGTGAATATGAAGTCGATATTCAACCCTAAAGGAAGATAGTATACACAAATAAAATGCCACAAACAAACCAAAGTTACTGGAGGATAAGAAGGACTTCTACGGACAACTGGAAGCAGTAATACATAGGAAACCGGTCAGATTGCAACGTTATAATTTGATGGGTGATATAAACGCAAGTTAAACTGGGAGCAGAAAACACAGAAAGACAACTCATCATGGACTGTAAGTAGTTGGGTGAAATGAATGAGGACAGAGAACTCTTTGTAGACTTATGAGCGTGTCTGGTCATTCGAGACAGAAGGTGTGTTCAAGCACTACGATATCCACACACACACACACCAAAATGAGGCATACTTCATCCCAAAGCCAGCCTAAATGACACAATAACGATAAGAAGGACAGATGTACGTTGAGATCACGATCTAATGTAAACAATCTTCAAAGTTTATTATGGATAAAATTTATTTTGATATATTTTTATAGTGTTACACAGTAATATTTACTGATGGCCTTTAGTGCACAATATATTGCTCATAATCATATCAAGGTACTCACACAACTTTCTAAGTTCGTTTATATACATGAGTAAAAAAAACCTTCAAACTTTCATATCAAGCTGAAAATTATTATCACCTTCGTTACTATGTGGAATTAAACAAATAATAATTGTATCCATGTAAAAAATGATTAGTTGAATAAATAAATAAAAAATCAATGTGCGTGAAACAGAAAGGAAGAAAGGTACTCTGGGAAATTATATTAGCGTTACCAATAAAATATAATACGATGGGAATTAAGACGAGTGTTGTTAGTCAATAAGATGGGGAATGAGATTTTTTGTAAAACAAAATAAATAACTTGTTAGTGTTATAATATGAATTGAAGTAAAATTTTAACATTATTTGTTATCCTCGGATTTGATTGCATATTAGTTTGTTTATTAGATGTATCACAAAGGGAAAGAGTATTATTTACTGGATAAATAATAATAAATAATACTATTTCACTGGACCTTCTGGTTACAAGGCGAGCTCGTAGATCATTAGTCCACTGGGACCCAATTCAACGGCCCATGAATTCTAACTTCTGCCAGTTCGCTAGCGGTTGTGCTATATCGTGAATTGGCACAGTGGTTAGGACTCTCGGCGACCACGCACATGGTCCGGGGTTCGAGCCCACTCCGACGCACACCTGATATCTATGGTCGACCTGCGAGATTTGGGCTACCTATATCCATGCTGAAAATTCCATACTTGTACCAAAAATACAGTGTGGAATTAGGCTGTAAATCAAAAATAAAAAACATCAAAAGCATTTTAAATAGCATACTGGGAACTTCCATCAACACGTTTCTTCGCTTCCTGAATACTGAAAGAAAAGGCAACATGGAATTCCGGCAGATGAACTACCAAAAAAACTATTACTTAACAAATACACATATGAAGTGGACATACGCTGTAAAGAGACTTCGAAGTGTCACTGCAAAGTAGTTCTTCAAATAGAACCTCAATAAGAAACGACGAGTTGAGTCTCAGGGTGACATGGGGTCGACCGTGTAACGAGGAAATTAAGCTTGTGGGAAACGTTGGAGTCAGCTTTAAAAGACAGTAGAGAACAGAATGAAATGGAGATATACTGCTGAAGTTCTCTGTTGCAGCTAGAAAGTAACGATAAATAATATTATGTTAATTATATTGTATCCATGCTACACCTAGTGATCTTAGATAATATATTGACCCAGCTAACCCTCTATGGTTATCACTGGAAGATTTCTGCTGTTTTTATAAAGTGTGATGACCAGTGATCTACATACACCTTGTGGGACTACTTTTATTCCTTCTGCACTGCCTAGTACATTGGATATTCTGGTGAACACCTCCCAACCGCTACCTTTAAACACTTATGTAGTCGAACCAGTGGGCCATTTTAATTGCCTCAATTTAGATTAGGGCGCGTCTTCTCAACTTTAGCTAGACTTCCACATGCCACTAGTTCTAAATTTGGATAGTGGGCTTCTACAGCCAACTATCCCACTCTACTTCTTAACTATTTTACCCAACGTTGTAGCCAGCAAAAATAAATCATACCAACTTAAACCAAAATGGAATAATAATAGATCATCTACTATTATTGATAGAAATACAGGAAGATTGATTGACTAACTGAACGACTGACTGTCAGTTACACTGCAAATTCACCTGATCCTCAGTATTGAGCAGTGAATGTATTAAAGCTGAAGAGTTCAAGATGGTATTGTAACAGTAGAAGGTAAAACACGGAAGCAAAGGTATATTTTTCATTAACCAAACCGCTGTTTATATGTATACAGTTTACATTCATCAACCAATCACTGAGTGTGTAATTTTGGTTTACATTAAACGACATGAGATAGAATGTTCAAATATACATAGTATTCTGTTGCTAAGGCAGCACTGAACTGTGTGAAAAGTATTCTGTCTGTAGCACCAAAAAAAATGTTCAAATAGATATATCGTATTGTGTTGCTAATGCAGTATTGAACCGCGGGAAAATGTGAGAACCATATTCAGTTGGAACATATTGCCTGTATCGCACCATCACAGTATGTTATGTTAGACCAAATGATTTTATTTTAGAAAGCTAATTAATCTTAGCTTGACAGATAAATAAATGTTAGTGTAAGAATGCCATGGAAAAAAGGATCTAGACAAAATGCGAGAAAACAAATTGCATAAATTAGTGAGTACTGGACATTTATTTCCTCCTAGTTGGGGGCCCTTCATCAGTGCGGATCCATAAACTCCCTGGGGATCGAACACATGACCTTCAGATTACAAGGTAAACTTGTTGGTCACTCAGCCACTTGGATGGAACCCAGTGACTGACCTATACATTTTAACTTCTGTGAATTCCCGATATTATAGAACCATCACCAGCTAACGTCACTGGAGACTTGGTGAACTCTACTATTTATGACTTCTCACTAGAACTACAAACAACTTCTTCACGAGCATTAGATTATTTTTTAGTGTTGATTTTCGGGGATTTGATTAACTTCAAGTTAGACTACTCACTGACACCGTTAGCTGGCGGTGGTGCTTCATATTGCAAATTGGCAGAAGTTAGAATTCATGGGCATGCAGGTGGACTGCGTCCCGGCGGCTGAATGTTCAATGAGGCTGTCTAGTGCAAGGGAATTCCTGTGTTCGATCCGCAATGGGTGAGTACTGATAAAGAGTTCCGAACCAGAACGGAACAAGGGTTCATGTACTCCCTGTTTTCAAGTATTGTCTAATTGATGTCAATCTGTGATCTAATTTGAAAGTAGTCAAATTCCAGCAAACCACACACTTGAAGATGATATAAAATAAACCCAACCAGATGTTCAGATACTGGTTTCATCGCAATATAAATAGTCCTATTGCTTCAATGGTTCAGCGGCAGAACGCTCTCCAACCACTCACGTGGTGTGGAGTTTTATCCTCGGCCGATGCATTCCTAAACTCCACTAAGCCAGCAGTAAGGCTGGGCCTGAGGACAGCAACTCCACCCAGTAAAAATAAAACCACCGCTACCAAAACTTCAAAGCTGTGGCTTGAAGTCCTAGGTTCCACTTGGAACTTAAAAGAAATAGATACAAACTATACTACTACTAATAATAATACCAATAATCAATAGTTATAAAATTGATTAAATCAACTAACTTTGACCTGTAATTTGTTCAACTCATGGCGTTTAATTGATCGATAACATTCCATCAAATTGTTTTCTACATTTGTTAACAACTTTAATGCTAAGCAGTTATTCATATCAACGACAAATAATAATAATATCCATAATTTGTCTTCCCACCTTAAATATATAGATATAATTAATGATTTCCGGCAACATAATTAGCTGACATACACAATTAGGTGCATATATCCCCTTCAGCGATCAATAGAAATTATTTAGGCCCAAATGAATACCAAATCTGTTCATATTGTATAACAACGGTAATAATCCCCACCCTTGAAAATGAGAAAGAGAACTCACATAACCACTTCACATATACATATTAGGAATACAGGGAGAGAGAGAGAGAGTGACTACGCTTACAAATGTGATTGGTCAATCTTTTTTATTGAACGACTTTTTCAAATCTGCTCAGGGTCAGTTAATTAAAGTTGAGTACTAATCAATTTTACATATTAAGTTCATTAGGATTGATAGTAGTAATAATAATATAAACAAATATATTTACAATAAAGTGCAACTCAAATGAGACCTAATAAAATTAGTGCATGAACAGATCATAAAGTATCATTGTAGGTATTCCTATATTCACACTGTGTAAGTCGATGAAATTACAAATAAGGCATACTGTTTTATCTAATGGAACATTAGTAAACAATGAATACACATCAAGTGACAACATGGTTTTTTCAATAACGTCAATATCATAAATGCAAATATGTAGCTGTTTTTTGTTTTGCATGATACTTCTGAACTTATTGGTTGCATTGATGCGTAATTAGATTATTAATTTCTTTTTTGTATCATATGATTCGAATACATTTCAGTTATGAATGTATGAAGTAATGACCTGTCACAAAATATGAAAGATTCCCAGCACATGCAAGCGAACAATATTGCTTTCAATTAGATCTCATCATTCGGCTATGCTCTGATTGATTATATAACTTTACAAATAAATATCACTAAATATAAACTAGTCATGGTAATTTGTCGATACGATGATAGATAAATAAGATTGAGCACATAAACTGCTTAGTTAGTTATAATAATAATGACCATGGTAACAAAAGCACGAATAATTGTATAAAAAACAAAGATGAACCAATCGAGGGATTTGTGATGACAAGAGTAATGAAAAATTGGACAATTATATACACAAATGTTCAGATAGGCATAATAGATAAAGGAGTTTAAGAAAAACAGATAGTCCGATTAAGTAGTGATAGATTGTATGATAATTAAATAAACCATGTTTAAATGAAGAAGTAGTAACATTAAGCGCCGATAAGAAAGGAATTAAAAGTATGTAGCGAGTAGTGGTGGTATAATCGGTTGGTTACGTCTTAACTAGTCAAAGTAGGAGTGAAGAGTTTACGAACTCCTGCTGAATGCATAGTTCAAATGCCATTCATCTTAGCTATATGCACTAAATGATTACGAAGATCACTGGAAAAATCTCTGTGAGATGCGATAAATCAAATTCAGTGTTTTCCTTTTGTCCACTGAGTGGCTACTGCCAAAAAATGAGACAAAATACAGCTTTGGATAATTATGTACTAAATACTATGACGGTGCGTCGGTGACACGGCGGTAGAGTGCTCGCCGTCCGAGGTTCGATCCCCGGTTGATGCATTCTCACACCTCACTAAGCTATCAGCAAGACTGGTAAAGAGGGAAGATTGGGAATGAGGCTAGCAACCCATCCTGTAAAAATAATCACCATTGCTAAATTGAAGCCTTATGTTCCACTGGGAAGGTAAAAGAATTTTAAAAAATTAAAAAAAAACTATGATAGGAGATGTACAGTGAAGCGGTAACAAAGTTGTCTGTTACTAGACCCAGAAATAACTGTCTCCATGGAAGCAATTGAACTGATAAATACACACAGACATAGTAAAACTAACTAGGGTATTTTTCATTTGAGTGACAATCATTTGACCGCCTCAGAATGACAGACACAAAATTCTTATATAAATTACCCTCCCCATGTCTATGAAACAATATTTCACTTGATATATCTGTGCGTCGGTGGCACATTGGTTAGGACTCTCGCCGACCCCATGCACATGGTCCGGGGTTCGAGCTCGCACCGACGCACACCTGATATCTATGGTCGGCCTGCAAAATTTGGGTTACCGATATCCATGCTGAAAATTCCATACTTGTACCGAAAATACAGTGTGGAATCAAGCTGTAAATCAAAAATCAAAAATTAAATTGCAGCTTAATGGATAGAGAATTTCTACACATTGTCCCAAAACAGGACAAAATATGCATCCTGAATCCCACTTCTAGTCATCAGAAACTAGAATGGCAAAACGTTAATCTTCAGACATCGCCGAAGCCTCTGTACTACGAGCCCACATGGCAAATGAAACTTAGCAATTAGAGTCAATACAATCAATCAAGAGGAGATACAAACTAACTTCAACAAATCAATATATTCAACCTTATTTTCACTTATTATTGTCATTATTATTATGACTAAGTATACAGTCAAGTGCGTCGGTGGCACAGCGGTTAGGATGATCGCCGACTATGCACACGGTCCGGGGTTTGATCCCCGGCAGACGCACCCCTTTACCTCGCTAAGCCAGAAATAATGCTGGTAAAGAGAAAAGGTTGGGCATGAGGCTAGCAACCTCATTCTGTAAAATTAAACACAGCTACAGAAACTTCAAGCCACTAGCTTGAGGCCCTATGTTCCACTGGGAACGTGAAGTAAAAAAAGTATACAGTTTGTATGCACGATCTCAAAGTCCTGTTGACAAATCACTATGGTCAGTGCGTATTTAGTTATTCTAATCTGCAAAATTGCGTATATATTACAGTCATATTCGGCTACTTCGGCATGCATATACCAGTTCACTTGCGCTTGTGGAGATAATTCCACTAGCCATATAATGCGTTCGCTTGTAAAACGCGCTTGGGAACACTGTTCAGCCTGGATAACAAAGGGAGAACTTAGGTGTTTACATAGCTTGGTAACAGAACATCTGGTGAACAAAGGACACTCAGCTCCATTTGAATAGATCTTCATAGTCGTATACAATATCCAGTGAAACCTCTCAAAGGGAGTAAGATCTGGACACTCGAGCATAGCTAAGGCATCAGCGCCCCAAAAGTTCATACCTTCACTATGTATGCAAAAGCAATACGCCTAAACTTTGCCTTTGACATGACCATTGCAAACAGTCATTTTTCTGAACAATGATTGTCCGATCACGCTTCTTATCCAAACTTCCTGTTTATTTTGTTATCATTACATTCTTAATCCCTAACTGTAATCTTCTTACTTGTCATAATTTAACCCTTGACCCCGAATAGTTTTGGAACTTTCTCATTCGCCTACTATATATTCATGAATTTACAGTCGAGTTGATGACTTCGACGAAAAGAAAATTTTCTTCGCTGTAAGCGTCTGTTTAGTTTTTCACATAGCGTATTTTGTTGCTTGATGTTTAACTACGATTGTAGTCACAATTCACACTATTTAAAATAATATCATATGTGTATATTCCATTGTACAGCGTAACAATAAATTTGTTGAATAGAATCTCTTCGCTGAATCACTTGTAAATCCATCAGTATAGAAGAAACAAAAAAACACACAGTTAATCGTAATTTGAAGTAGTAATAAAGAAGATTTCCAACCCAGCCAGATAATATCGGTGTGATTATCTTCCCTGCGGTTCGTAGTTCACTTGCAAAGTTTTCATTGCCTTCCAGGACAAATTCAATGTGATGTCATCTTTGAAAATTCTCCCTCTATCCTGGTGACCATAACTTTGATTGCCTGTTTTTGGTTGGACACCAGTCAGTAACTAATGTAATGTGTCTAGTCCTATCTTTGGTGCAGGCTGAGTTCTATAAGTCAAGTTTGCAATGTGGCCGCTGCGTTACGTGGCTCGTCATCACGCTGCACTGTGAATTGTTGGTATTAGATGGTTGCATGTCCCTAGATCATGTCCAGGAAGACAATGAAAGCTTCGCAGTTAAAATTTCCATTTCAGGGAACACAACAGTAATAAATGCTGTTCTTACTACAAGTGAAATTCAGAGGTCAGCACAAAAGACAAGTACTTTTGAAATAAGATAGTAATCAAATCTAAATTTAAACTATAATGCGTCACATAACGAAGGAAACACCAAGTTTATCGACTGAAAAAAGACGAATCGAACTAACTGATTAATTAATTCATTCATGTTGACAGAACGCGAAGATTTTGATCTGAAGATAAACCTCATAGAATAAAAGTTGACTTTTCTTCAAAAATGTGTCTGTCTGATAGTTATTATCCAAAAAATTTCACAAGCCGACTTACAAAATGTTGTGATAATGAAAAGAATATCAACACAGATAAATGTGAAGTTATTGTGGTTGCTGGTGTCTAATGGTGGAACTCGGGATGTGAACCTCGTCGTATTCGTGACTTTTCAGATGGACACACTAGGGCTGTCACTGAAATACACAGCATTTCACACTGCACGGGAAGTGACTTCTTGGGCCTAGTGGGTAATCCGTTGTCGTTTGAAACGACAGTTGCACCACCCACTATCACTCACTGGGAATGCCACTATATCCAGCTGACAAATTCCAAATAGGACGAAAAGCGCATTCCGGATTTCGCTGTTAGTCACCACCACCTAAAGCAACTTCGGGTTAATTTCTAGGCATCGTTTAACCGAGCAGTTCAGTCAAACATAATCAATCAAAAGAAAATGCTAAACTCACACGAGAAAAACAAAGAATACCACTACAGTAGCGAAAAGGCCAGTATATTTATTCGGTTAGCCCACAAAAGCAAATGATGCGCCACAATGGATGAACAGATGACTAAACGTCTCTTATATAAGGGGACTTATGCGTTAATTTTAATTATTCCTGCCTACAACAGCATTATTATTCTTTAATAATGGAAAGTGGACAGTTATCCATCAGAATTTACCCCATGATGGACAGTCAATTGATACTGTTTCTGTCGAAAAAGCCTATTGTCTTTGGCCAGTATTATTTATCATTCTATTTATTCGAAATTGTGTTCAACGTAACTTCACTGTTCTATATGAATATATTTTCCTAATCATCTGTGTGTATACTTCCAGT